GGAGGAGGAGGAGGAGGAGGTGGAGGAGCAGGAGGTCGTGATAATGATGCGCTCGAGGATTGCCAGCGTCCCCAAGGTTTCCGAATCTCCCACACGGGCTGCGGCAGCGAGGGCCGCGGGCTCTTCGGGACATCCCGAAGCCAGCTCACCCTGAGCTCATCCTATCACGACGTCTTGCCCTCAACGGCAGGAGGAGGACCTGGCGGCGGCGGCGGCCGATCGGCCCGCGGCCCCTTCGGCCGATCGTTCGGCAGCCTCCGCGGCGCCGCCGCCGATCGGCCGGCGGCTGCGTCGCCGATGGGCCGGCGGCCGCCTTCCGAGACGGCGGCGGCGCCGCTGGAAGATCGGTCGGCGGCCTTCCGCGGCTCGGGAGCGGTGCCAAGGCCGCGCGGCGCGAGTCCGTACAGGGCGCTCGGTCTCCGTCTAGGCTGCCTCCGTCTGGTGTTCCCCCCCTCCTGGTACGCAGACCTCCTCTCGAGTCATGAACAGACCTATCATGACGGGAGGTTTCTGGTGATTTTCGGCCTCTTGGCGCCCTGGCCAGGCCTCGGGTCCGTGAGAAAACGACGCGGGATGAAAACCCGCTCCTGGGGAGTGGGTCGAGACCTCCTTGGGGTCCACGTCATGAAGACAAACCATGACGTCGGGTGCGGTGCTGAGGTCGCGCGGCGTAGGTCCGCACAGAGTGCTCGGCCTCCGTCTGGGCTCCCTCCGCCTGCACTTCGGCCTCGCCTGCGGGCGGCCTGTCGGCTGGCGGACTCCATGGCGGGCGCCTGGCCCACGCGCCCCCTGAGATCTGGGCGTTTCCATTGCTTCACACCGGGAGTTCTCGCCTGGTTTCGAGCCCCGCGTGTCGCAGATCGATCCGGCCCGAAGAGTGCGGCGGAAAGTTGGCTTTTGGGGCTCCGGTGCTGGTTTATCACGATGTCGCAGTTGTTTCGCAACGTCGGATCTCCGGGTCCCTGGATCCCTTCGCAAGGACCAGGCTCTTCTCTCCACATCGTGGGTCTTGGAAACGGCCCCCGGACCCAGACATCCCACTTCTTGACGAACATTCGATGAAGACGTTCCACCGTTTCCGGCGTCTGGAAGCCTTCACCGGCCCCCAGGCCCCTCAACAAAACGATTCAGGATGAGAAGCCAGTCCCGGGGAAAGGGTCGAGACTTCTGGATCTCTGCGAGTCAGGGCGGGAATTACCTACCCCGCTTTCGCTTCCAGGCAAAACCAGGTCATACCACGCGCCTCCTTGTCGAGCGGCCTGACCAGTACAGGCCGTAGTTTGGCCTCGTTTGGTATCTCTTGGAAGCGAGGGTGGTCAAAAGCGAGGTAGGTTTGTTTTCCCCCTAGCGAGGCATGTCTGGCGCGTCCTCTTGGGGGCGTTTTTGGGGGGTCCTTGGCAGCTGGCGCCCCCCTGCTCTAGGGGGGCCCCCTGCCGGAAGCCTCCGGAGCTCCCCAGCGAATCGCCCCTGATCACCCCACGACGTCCCTCCGATCACCGCGCGCGTTCCGAACTGCTCGCAGAGCGCCTGCTCGCAACCGTGCGAACAAATTCAGCACGCGTGCGCTTATGGATGTGCTGGATCTGAGGCACCCCTCGCGGCGGGCCCACGCCACCTGCGAGCAGTTCCTTGGCGAGTGCAGAATTACTTCGTGGAGCGCGCTTGCCCACATCCGAGTCCAGGCGGCCGCAGGCTGGTCCCGGGATCGAGCCCATCTCCTCCTCCTCCTCCCCCTGCTCCTCCTCCTCCTCCTTCTCCTCCTCCTCCTCCTTCTCCCCTACCTCCTCTTCCTCCTCCTCCTCCTACTCCTCCTCCTCCTCCTCCTCCTCTTCCTCCTCCTCCTCCTCCTCCTCCTCCTCTCCTCCTCCTCCTCTCCTCCTCCTCCTCCTCCTCCTCCTCCTCCTCCTCCTCCTCCTCCTCCTCCTCCTCCCCCTCAGGGACCGATGGAGCCCCTCCGGCTCACCCCTTGGAGACGGGCGCGGTCTTCATCTGGAGCCAAAGGAGGACGTACGTGTGCAGGAGTCCGCGCTGGCTTCGAGGGTGCGCGTTGCGCGAACGGTCGTATCACGCCGCCGGTCTCGCGTAATTATCGGGGATCCGTGTTCGCGTGCATGGTTGGGCGCATACGTCCTTCGTGGGCTCCCTATGTCAGGCGGGAGGTCCCCGAAGTGACTCCGACTTCCAGAGGCCCTGGGCCAGAAACATGCAAGAGGCTCGCTCCTCGGTTTCCGATCGGCCTCCAGGCATCCGCCGACCTAGAGGCCCCAGAGGTCCTGGGCCTCCTAGGTGGGGTCCTAATTGAGGCCCCAGAGGTCCTAGGCCTCCTAGATGGGGTCATATTTTTCAATCCGTGGTCCCAGAGGTTGTAGGCCTCCCAGATAGGGTTCAAGTAGATGTGGCCGGAGGATCGCGCAGAATCGCCGATGCATCGGCGATGCGGCTCGATGTGGAGCCAAATTTTCTTCACGCCGACGGCGCCGATGCATCGCCGACGTCGTCAAGTGCATCGCCAATACATCGGCGATGCATCGCTGATGCGACGCGACCCTCCGACCCCATCCATTCTTAAGTCGGGCCTGCCCCTCTACAGGAGGAATATTCAAAATTAGTCCAACGATTAGTCTGGGGACTATTTTTCGATTACTTTGGGGGTCTTTGGGGGACTTTTTTGGGCGTGTTCAATTTTTCGCGCAATATCCGCCTTCAGGAGGACACGCCCGACCTAAATCTGCTCCGACCCCATCTGGGAGGCCTCCAGAAGTCCCGACCTGCTTCCCCTGAGGACACCAGTTTTCGCCTCGGCTGCGGTTCTCTTGACGGCCCCTGTGGCCCGATGTCTGGCCGGCCTCACGGGGGCCGTCATCGAGGAACAAAAACACGCCCGGCTTGCACAAAGCACATCGCGGGAGAGCTGGCGCCCACTGCTCTCTTGAACAGCAAGAGTCGTGCTCGCGCGGGTCTTGTGCGGGGTCCCTGTGCGGGGGACCATCTGCGCCCAGCAGTGCGGGGCTCTCGTGGATGCCCTTGGAATTGGATCCGCGTGGGCGTGCTCTATGCAGGAGGAGCAGGAGCAGGAGGAGGAGCAGGAGGAGGAGGCGGAGCAGGAGGAGGAGAGGAGCGGAGAAGGAGGAGGAGGAGGAGGGGAAGGAGGAGGAGGAGGAGGAGAGCGAGGGAGGGAGGAGGAGAGGAGGAAGGAGCGAGGAGGAGGAGGGAAGGAGGAGGAGGAGGAGGAGGAGGAGGAGGAGGAGGAGGGGAGGAGGAGGAGGAGGAGGAGAGGAGCGAGGAGGAGGAGGAGGAGGAGGAGAGGAGAGGAGGAGGAGGAGGAGGAGGAGGAGGAGGAGGAGGAGGAGCGAGGAGGAGGAGGAGGAGGAGGAGGCTCAGAAGCAGAAAGCCCTTCGCACACGGAGCTCTTGCACAAGGCCCTTGTTGTGCGCGACTCGTGCGCCGGGCCTCTTCTTCGCCCCAGCACCCTTGTTCTATGAAGCTCAGGAGGGAACAAACACACACAGGCACAACCACCAGAAAAAATGGGAGCATATGGAACATGTGGGGGAAGACAAAACCTTGAAACTATGGGAATGGGGAATCCTGTTATTTGTGTCTATTTACTGCGAATGTCTTACGGCCGGTGCCACCGACCCTGAGAACGACGAAGATGAAAACGAGGGGGGGGGGCAGGGGGAGGAGGATGAGTGGGAGGTGGAGGAAGGGTGGAGGAGGTGGATGAGGGAGGAGGAGGGGGGAGAAGGATGTGGAGAATAAGCACGAGGAGGAGAAGGAGGCAGAGGAGAGCAGGAGGAGGGGGAGCAGAGGGGGGGAGGAGGAGGTTGAGGAGGAGGAGGAGGAGGAGGAAGAGGAGGAGGAGGCCAGAGGCTTTCTTAGGATAGCCTGGGGCTCTCTTGAGGCCGTCTTGGGCCGTCTGGGGCTCCTCTTGCGCCGTCTCGAGGCACTCTTGGAGACCTCCTGGGCAATTTTGGGCTCTCCTGGGCTGTCTTGGGGCAGTTTGGTGGCCCCTGGGAGCCTCTTGGGCCTCTTGGGGTCTTCGGGGCCTCTTGGGGGCCTCTTGGGGCTGAGAGCTCGAAATGTCCGTTCGGGTCCCCCGTCTGGGCACTCTCCTGCAGCCGTCTTGGGGGCCGCTTGGGCCGTCTTGGAGGCATCTTGGGCCGTCTTGGGGGCCTCTTCGGCCATTAGGGGGCCCTCTTGGGGGCCTCTTGGGCCGTCTCGGGGCGATCTTGGGGGCCTCTTGGGCCGTCTTAGCGCGTCGGGAAGCGGAAGAGGCAAGAACGCCAAAATCTTTCGAAAACCTTTGGGAAATCCATGATTATTGCCTCTTGGGGCTCTCGTGGGAAAGCTCCTGGAGGCCTCTTGGGGCGCTTTGCAGGCCTCTTGGACCGTCTGGGGGCCGTCAAGGCGTCTTGGATAGATCGTTCGGCGATTCGGGGTTCTCTTGGACTGTCTTTGGAGCCTCTTGGGGCGCTCTTGGCCCGTCTTGGGACTTTTTTGGGGCTCTGGTGTCTATTTGTTTCTGTGTCCCAGGGCCCCTTTAGAAACATGGTACCCCCAGAGGTCTCGACCCATTCCCCAGGACGAGCTCGTCTTGAGCCATCTTTGGGCACGGCCTCGAGGCCCCAACAGTTGGACTGCACGTCAGGGTGACCTCTCGCCGGATTGGCCTCTGGTGCGGGCCCTCTGGGCCCTCCCGGTCGGCGATCGCGATGCGGTAGCAGGGTCTGGCCGTCTTGGGTTTGGCCCCCTCGCGAACTCCAAGAGGCCGCGCACCACAGGCCACTCTTGCCCAGGGTCGCTCCGGACACCGGCACCGAACCTCAGGAAGCGACCCCTGACACCGAACATCAGGAACAGCCTTCCGTTGTTGAAGAGGAGGAGGAGGAGGAGGAGGAGGAGGAGGAGGAGGAGGAGGCGCAGGAGGAGGAGGAGGCGCAGGAGGAGGAGGAGGAGGCGGAGGAGGATGAGGAGGAGGAGGCGGAGGAGGAGGAGGGGGAGGCGGAGGAGGAGGAGGAGGAGGAGGGTCTTGGGCCCTTCGCTCCGGCCAGGGCCCGGATTCGGTGGCGACTGAGGGGGGGAGCGAGCCTTTCTCAGAAGGCCTCGGGCCTCCCGTGCGAAGGCCCGCCCCTGCTGGGCTCCCCCCCCCTGGCTTGCCGCCGAATCGCGGCCGGGGCCACGATCACGTCCCCGATTCCATGGCCGCTCCTGCTATCATCGCAGTGCGTGCCTTGGCGCCCCCTGGGCCGCGCGCGTGCCTCGGGCCGTGATGTTTGCCGCGCTCCCCTCTTGGGCGCCACCCTCTCCCCGGGCCCCGGGCCGCTCCAATGTTTTGTGAAGCGTGGGCCTGAGAGAGGTCTGGACCACTTCCCGCCCAACACCAGCCGCGCTCCAACTCCAACTATTTTGGAGTGCGTTGGATCTCTGGGGATCCTCCGCCGAGGTCTTCCAGTGCCCCCCGACGATGCGCATCGCCCTGCCGGGCTGCCCGGCCACCATCCAGGCCCACTGCGACTCGGAGTACCCGGCGCACTGGCACGGCGAGGCCGAGCGGGGTGCCTACCGGGAAGTGGAGTGGGGGGGGGAAGAGCAGGGGGGGCGGGGGGAGGAGGGAGAGGAGGAGGAGGAGGAGCAGGAGGAGGATGAGGAGGAGCGGAGGAGGAGGAGAGAAGAAGGAGGAGGGAGGAGGAGGAGCAGGAGGAGGAGGAGGAGGAGGAGGAGGAGGAGGAGGGAGCAGGAGGATGAGGGGGGGAGGGAGGAGGGGAGGAGGAGGAG